CACTCCTACGAAGTCGCTTTGGGACCACTGCAAACCAAGATTTCTTCTTTGAATAGAGCAAAAGCTTATTCATTGTTCCTTGGTCAATACGCACCTTCAAGACAAAAATAATGAAAACTTATGCTAGGGCACACTTCCGAAGTTGAGTGTTTGAGTCGTGTTTCATTTTCATCATTTAAGAAGATAATGTTATCAACATTTCCATGGTGGCAAATTGGAATTAAACATATCACACGTAATCAAAGCAAATATTACAGGTGGCATGACAAGCCTCTGTTAGTGAAAACTAACAGGAGGGATCATATTTGGAGACAAAAAACTTTGTGAGAACCAATGTTTGAAGAAAATTTTTGTAGGGACTAAACTTGAAAGTTGTCATATTTATAGAGACTAAAAACATATTTAACCCTTATTATTTTATTAACATATTTTTAACTTTTTTTTTCAATTTGTAATCAATAATTTATTAAAAAATTTAACTAATTTTTAATTTAAAGATAAATGTAATACTATAACTATTTTTTATTTCCTATTTTTATATATTTGGTTTCTTGCCTGGATTAAAACTTTGCTTTTATGATTTTATAACATTGTTACACATTTATCAAATTTATGGTTGTAAATTAGATCTTGATTTTTATGCCTGATCTATCATTTTTTGCAATTTGACAGATTTAGCTACCATCGTCCATAACTATAGGAACAAGAGATGAGTTTCCAATAGGGCTGGGCACCGGATCGGGCCCAAAACCTCAAACCGGCCAATCCATAGGGTGGGATATTATAATCTATTTTTAACTAGATTGTCGGGTTCGGTTGTATTCGGGTTCAGATTATTAAGTCAGTTATTTTTGGATTTTACAGATTCAATAACATTAATATTATAATCCATTTTAACCAGATTTCTCTTAAAACTAAAACAAATTCAATAACATTAATACAACCAAATTGTTTAACTAAATTAAAATTAATCCTTCCAAGGAACATATAAAATCTAAATTTGAATTATTCAACATAAATTCCATGTAGTAACACAACCAAAGCACCATTGTGAAGTGCAGGGAATGAGTCACAAACAGCCTGAACAGCTGAAGGAGTAAGTGATGTACATTGGCTAATGTTCAAAGTCCTTAAACCATCCTCATCATTTTCACCACTCACAGTTCCCACATCTTGTTATTCACTTTGCTTTGTGCCAATGAATACATTGCTCTGTCTGTTATGTTTTTGCAGTAGTATAACCCAAGTGACCTCAGATGAGGACACCTATTTGCCAATGCTATTACACTTTCATCTGCAGCAACAACATCAGAGTCATGTTTGCACTGTTGTTAATCACAAAAACTAAGAACAACACAACTAACTAATTGGATAGAGTATATAGAAAATAGCGCGAACGAAGTACCTGTTATAAGGACACAACCACATAAGTCAAGTGTTCTAAGATCAGGGCACCCATATGCTAAACTCATCACACCTACATCACTTATTTGTTCACACCATCCAAGGTTCAAAGACTGTAACTCATTGCAGTAATGTCCAATTGCCTGGATTTCATAAAAAAATCAATGAGGTAATCTAAGCAAACCCTAATTCCTATATGAAATTGATGACCAATATACCTGTAATGTCCAATTTGTGACTCATAAATTCCATGTAGCTAATAAGGTGGAGCATACAAGAACCTAATAATGCAAAAGAATATAATTGTCAACAACATGTAAGGAAGATTTATAATTAGAGAAATACGAGATTAGGCCACTCATTATTAGGCCAATCAAATCACACTCTAGATGGTCAATCTTGAGCGTAAAGCGTGTGTGTTAACTAATGAGAATTCCACGTTAAATAGTGATACGAACTGAATAATGTTTACAAGTCAGTTTTGAGGTAGAGTTTAGCCCAAATCTAAATTCTAAGAAATTCTATTTCATCACAGAAAGTCAGTTGTTTCGTCATAGATATTAAATGCATGGAGAAAATATATTGTTTTTTCTATTTCTCAACTGAAAATCGTCTAGCATTTAGAGGGATCACATAACTAAAATTCAAGGGGCTCAACATGTGTTTCTAGTGCACTTACCCTCAGAGTCTTCCATGCTGCAACATGTGCTTATGGTGTCTGAAAGAGTAAAACCACAAAATAAAATGAGATATGCCTGACTACCTACATAATGAGAAGCAACTGAATTTCTTCAAATGCAAATTGAAAGAAACCATTACAGATTATGCACTGTCATCTTTAAGGTCGGAAGCTGCAATCCAGTCAATTGATGGTTTCATTGAGTGTGAGCAGGGCCTTTAAAAAACGAGGCATTAAAAAAATCAAACTATTCAGTATACGTCAATGACATTAGAACAAACAAAAACTCTGTTGTCAAATAAATAAATAAAACAATTCTAAAATCCAAATATATGTACACTTAAAATTATATAAAAATAAAGAATACATAAACCAATAAATAACTGATAACAGTTTTAAGAATACAGCAAAAATGTGAAACTCAGATTATTGCTAGTTAATATGACATAAATTTATGGAAAAAATCGGACAAAGAGAAGAAAAAAAATTATAGAAAAATTGAAATGCTATTATCTAAACAACATTGATAGCTTTATAGTAAATGCACTAATCTTGAAACAATATTTCCGTAACAGATACTATTATATGCCATTCTTGGAATGTATATCAAGAGAAAGATCAGCTCACCTTTACAACGGATAAATATGAATCTGTTAGACCAACATATCTTCCCACCATCGCTATCCTAACCTGTAAAGTTAAAAATGCTCTCATTCACATGCATAAAATATTGTAATATATTTATAAATAGCATTGTAAATAACATATATAGTGCTAACAGATTCAGTAAGATTATCATAGCTCTCAGCCATCTCAGTCCATTGCTGCAAATCAGGAGGCGTAACACGGATGAAAAGGAATTTAAAAGTGAGACTGACTAATGTTTCTGATTATCAGTATAATAGTACAATACTAGTTGCTAAACACGCAAATGAAAGAAAAGGAACAAACCAGTCCAGACATTGTACATCATAAAAGATCATATTGCAAATTTGTAATTTTGTACATCATATTGCAAAAATGGGAAAACTGTAATTTTGTACCAAAAATGTAAAAACAGATCTCGAGCAGAACAAAACAATAGAATCATAAAAGAAGCCAAAACCAGTCCTATTACCTACATCTCCGTGAACAAAGTGACAGTCATCACCAAAAGGACAACTCCTGGTATTACATGGATTCATCAAAAAGTGTTTGGTTGGTTATACATGGATTCATCAAAAGTTTTTAGATATTCTTTCAAAAAGTGTTCGATTGGTCATACATGGATTCAAAATACGAGTCACTCATGACTCCAAAAAAATTCAAAAAGTGCTTGTTGCAAATATAAGGAAAAACATAAGAATACATGTTTTATTTAACAAAAACACATGAACAAAAATACAAGGGAATTGAACCTGAATATGTTTTTCAGGTACAAACCGAAATTTGTGACTGAGTATGAGAAGAAGATAGTGCTCCACTTCTGACTGAAGTTTTAGTAAATCCTAAAATATATTTAAAACATAATAAGAAATTACAAACATAATAAGAAAACCTTAACTTTAACATTTTACAAACAGAATAAAAAATTACACTTATAGGAAAATAGACGCAATACCTAGTAAAGCATCTTCAGATATCTCATAATCCTCGTTAAATTCCATGCCTTTGAATTGGTAAAAGGTAGGTCTCAACCAGTTCTTAGTACAAATTGAAGCTTCGGCCATTTCTGATTTGAGAGAGCTTCTGTATACCTCTAAAACCCTTCCACCCGTGCTAAATGCACTCTCAGAAGCCACAGTTGAAACTGGTGTATGCATGATATCTCTAACTATTTAGGACAGAACCGGGTATTAACCAGGATTATGTTTCCACCAACAAAGAATGTCGAACTTTTCTTTATCTTTTTTATTAAAAGTTAAACATTTTCCAGCAATATAACTCTGAAGCTCGGTTTCTTCTTCCACTAAATTAATAGACATCAAATGTTCCTGAAAAGAATTTTCTCTAGCTATATATGTAGGTAATTCGTCACTGGCAGCCATTTCACCATGAGAAACAACGGCTGCAACAAATGTGACTGAGCCTCCAACAATGTCATGGGCTTGTTTGTAAAGATCAAGCATCTTTGAAAGATTGTCATTGATATCTTTTAATACAAATTTCTTAGTGTCTGAATCTTTTTCATACATATCATCAAAGCACCATTCCACATATCTTAACTTATACCGGGGGTAAAAAATAATACCAAAATAAAGGAGTCGGTTCATCTTAGTGATATCAACCCAGTACTTACAAAACTTTTCCAACATGTCCCGTGCCACATTTGCAAACAATCCATTAAGGTCCATGTTTAATTTCTTAAGTTCAATGTATATTTCAGCCAAGAATGGAAAAGAAGTATGCAAACTTGCTTTTGTTGAAACAGAAAAAACCTTTTTCGCTTCATAATATTTCTTCAAAAACTTAATAAAAACTCTAACATTATCCCAATCATGACTACTAGGGGGGAATCACCGTCAAAGAAATCCTTATAGTCTTCATCCCCATCTTCTAGTTTATCAAAAGCAGTTTGAAATTTCTCAGCCGCATCTAACATAAAATATGTCGAGTTCCATCTAGTTGAAACATCAAGACATACTGACTTCTTACATGTAATCCCGACATATTCCACACACTCATTGAACTTTAAAGCTCTATGGGGTGAAGATCTCACAAACCTAATAGCATTTCTAACACTTGAAATTGAGGTGCTGGCTACTTTTAATCCATCTCTAACAACTAAATTCAGTATATGAGCACAACACCTCATGTGAAACCCAAACCCATCCATTAAAAGTCCATTCATATTTCTTACTTTCTGCTCTAAATATTTAACAACAACATCATTTGATGCCGCATTATCAACCGTAATAGTAGAAACATTTCTCAGCCCCTACTCCTTCAATACTTCCTCTACCTTCTTACCAACCATTCTACCACGGTGATTTGGAATAACGGTAAAGCTAATAATCCTCTTTTGGTAATTCCAATCTCTATCAATAAAATGGGCAGTTAGGGTCAAATAGTTTAGATTTTGGACAGATGTCCAACAATTTGTTGTTATTGCCACCCTACCACAATCAGATTTAAAGAATGCCCTCAACCTCACTTTCTCATCAAGATATAATTGAAAACATTCCCTAGCTATGGTTCTCCTTGACGATATAGAAAATTGGGGCTGCATTTGCTTACAAAAGTACTTGAACCCCTCTCCTTCAACTGTAATAAAGGGTTTCTCATCCAAAATGATAAAATAAGCTAACCCCTTTCTAAAACCTACAGGATCAAACCTAGAACTTGCTGGAACCAGCCCAACTCCCTGAGTTGTTAAAAATGTCAAGATTGTTTGGGTGGGGTCAGTTGACAAGTTCAACGGATACTTAGGGCATGTTTTCATGTGAATCTTTAAGTTTGAAGTTCCATGTTTCTTAGAGTCACACATGTACATTTGATGACATTATTTACAGGCAGCAGTAGGGGGTCACTATTAGGAATAAGGTTAAAGTGGTCCCAAACCTCAGATCTCTTTCTATTACCATTAACATTAGGTCTTCTTTTCTTAGGAATAGGCAGAAGATTTGTGGTTGGTTTAATAGGTGTTGCGGTTGTTGGTACATTAGGTGTTGTGGTTGTTTGTACATTAGGTGAGGTTGGAGAATGTTCATTGGTAATTGGAGTGTCTTGCTCCATAATTGAGCAAATAAGCAAAGCCAAAAATAAACACAAATGAGTAACCAAACATAGACACAAATAAGCAACAAACACAAATACTTAGAGTTTAAGCTTCATATATATCATAATTATTTGAACTCAGTCACTACCACTCAATGTTAAAGATGCAAAGACATGGAACAGGGAAGCGAACAAAGGGAAAAACAACTCCAGAGATAAGGAAGTGTGCACATTGAAGAGAATAAACACCTGAGTAAATTTGGAAGTCAAATAATAATAATGCTGCTAACCCTTGTGAACCTGAATCTTTACACATAAACCTGCAATAAAATATACTAATTATATGACAAGATGGAAAGGCGACAAAAAATCAATATTCACCATTTAACATAATCTAACAAAATATATGGATGACCACATAACCGAATCAAAAGCTTAAGAGAGACGATGATTGCGGTACCGAGAGAGACAATGATGGAGCTGCGTTAACCCTAACCTGAAACCAACAAGGATGATGGTTTGTGTGTTAGTTTAGAGAGAGAGAGAGAGAGAGAGAGAGAGAGAGAGAGAGAGAGAGAGAGAGAGAGAGAGAGAGAGAGAGAGAGAGAGAGAGAGAGAGAATTAACCTGAAGGTTGGAGAGCGACGACGGTCGAAGGTTGTTGGAGTGGTAACTGGAAAGGTTTATGCAAAGCGATTGGAATAGAGATGGGTTTCTTCAAACCCTAACCCATATTTTGTGAAGACGAAGTGTGTCTGTGTAATGTGTAATATGAAATAGAGATGGATTTTTACTCAGTACTCAATTAAAGAATACAACTAATAATTAAAGAATAATAATATTATAATCGGTCGGTTTCGGATTCCGACGGGTTCCAAATTGCAAACCGAATCCAACCATCCATATCCATTAATATCCAATCAAACGGTTCAGAAATATCCGTCATCCGAATTTAACCGACCCATATTATATAATACATTTCGGGTCGGTCGGATAACATCAGATGATTACCGATTGTCCACCCCTAACTCGCACATTATTAAAATCTGTAGCAGTAATCCATCCTATCATAAATAAAGTTTGAGTTTGACAAACATTGAGCATTGTTCCACACAGAGTTGAAGTGAATTTACCATATTTTTTATTATATGCAACTTAGCATTTAATAAAAAAGTTGTGATATGTCAAGCATATCAAATCATACACTCTATAATATTGTAAATTATCATTATATGTCCTATTATGTTGGAATATCAACTTTTTTTCCGACTATTTACACGTTATGTATGAGATACACAAATAATGTTGAACACACTAGTTAGAATAATGAATGAAACGCTCTTCATTTGATGTCTATTTAGTTATAAAAAATACATGGCATATTCATAACTTAATGTTATATAATTTACATCTAACTGATACATTAGTTTGAGTATGATCATTCTTAAAGTTGGCATTATATAATCCTTAATAAAAATAATTTAACTTATCTATTTATTTATCTTTGAATCACGTGTACCAAATATTTACAATCATTATTCTTTTTCGTACTATAGTGTTATATAAAAGATAAAAATAAATTTAAATAACAAATTCATTGCTTTATAGACAATATAATAAATAGAAATAAAATAAGTAAAACTAAAATATTTTAAATAATATTTTTTTTTTGGGTTTTTACCATCAGTACTCTAAATAATAGTTTAGTTATTTTTTTTTTAAATTTAAATTATTGGCTAAATACCTTTTCTAATCCCTTAACTTTACCTCGGGGTCCATTTTGGTCCCTTAAGTCCTTTCCGTCTAACTTTTCCTCGCACCAAGGTCATTGTAATTAAAGCACAATATGATTTACCACTAAGTCACTTTACCATTAATGATTAAATTTACAAATCAGATATATATTTACATTTTTTTAGTTCTTAAACACACTATTCTTCTTGTTATTCTCAAACTACTCTATTATTATCATTATTATTATTATTATTATTATTATTATTAATAATCATAATCATAATAATAATAATAATAATAAAATAATAATAATAAAACTAATAATAATAATAATAAAATAATAATAATAATAATAATAATAAAAATAATAAAATAATATTGTGTGTATTGAGTGAACTAAATATAACATATTTTCCTTATTTGGAATTCTTAACTAGTGCTCTGAGGGCACTGGTTAGCATGACCCTAAAAATAATAGTGCATATTTATTTAGTGATTTTATTCAGTTGTATGTCTAGAAAAAAATAAATTTCGAATTTTAATGTTGGACTAATTTTGAATACTTAAATTTTTGTTATTTAATTATGGTCTTTACGTTGTTATCCCCACGAAAGAATATTTGTAATAATATTTGTGAAAATTACGAGACTGTAAGAGAAAATATATATCTACAGGAATAAGTGAATTACTGAAACGGAAAAAATAAAACCATTGATAATATAAAAGTATATGAGACAAATATTTTTGTATACAGAAAAATTTTAAATACTTTATATTGAACTTTATTTTTATAAATGAGAAAAATGTATTGATGATCCAAATACTTTTATAAATGGGAACAAGTTTTTTAGTTATCAAAATACTTTATAATTAATATCAAAACAAAATTAATATTTACAAACGAGACAATATACGGTTGATCCAAAATTAATATTTACAAACGAGAAAATAAGTTTGAGAAGTGGCTAGAAGCCATGAAATCTGAAATGGATTTCATGTACGCAAACCAGGTTTGGACTTTGGTAGAGCCTCTTGTAGAAGTTAATCGTATAAGATGCAAGTGAGTCTTCAAAAAGAAGACTGACATGGATGATAAGGTACATACCTATAAGGCAGGCCTGATGAAACCTTTTTACCAGTTGCAATACTTATATTTGTTCGAATTTTACTTGTTATCGCTGCATATCATGATTATGAAATATGACAAATGGATGTCAAGACTGCTTTCCTTAATGGGAATCTTCTTGAGGACATGTACATGACACAACCTAAAGGATTTGACATACCAAAAGAAGCCCAAAAATATGCAAGTTACAACGATCAATCTATGGATTGAAGCAAGCTTCCAAAAGCTGGAATCTTCGTTTTGATGAAACTGTAAAATAATATGGATTCATAAAGAATGAAGATAAGCCTTGTGTCTACAAGAAGGTTAGTGGGAACATGATCGTCTTCCTGGTATTATATGTAGATGACATATTACTCATTGGAAATGATGTCCCTACATTGCAACAAGTGAAAACTTGGTTAGGGAAATGCTTTTTTATGAAAGACCTTGGTGAAGCAGCCTATTCATTAGGAATCAGGATCTATAGAGATACATCACAAAAAATGCTTGGCCTAAGTCAGAGTACATACATAAACAAAGTGTTAAGACGTTTTAATATGCATGATTCCAAGAAAGGATTCATACCTATACAGCATGGCTCGTGTCTATCAAAAACACAATCCCCTTCAACCAAGAAAGAAAGGGATCGCATGAATAAGATTCCACATGCATATGCAATAGGATCTATCATATATCTCATGTTATATACTCAACCAGATGTCTCGTATGCTTTAAGTGCAACGAGTATGTACCAATCTGATCCTGATGATGCTCATTGGGTAGTTGTCAAGAATATCCTTAAGCACTTGAGAAGGACTAAGGACTCATTTTTGGTATATTGAGGTCAAAAAGAGCTTGTTGTAATTGGATATAGCGATGATAGCTTTCAGACAGATAAGGATGACTTCAGAACACAATCTAGCTATGTGTTCTGCTTAAATGGTGGCGCTGTGAGCTGGAAGAGTTTAAAGCAAGAAGCAATTGTTGATTCTACAGTCGAGGCCGAGTACATTGTCACCTCAAATGCAGCAAAGGAAGCTATTTAGATCAATAAGTTCATTAGTGAACTTGGCAAAGTCCCTAGCATTGTGGATATCATTGATCTTTATTGTTGTAACAATGGTGCTATAGTACAAACTAAGGAGCCTAGATCTCACTAACGATCTAAACACATACTTAGGCGTTATCACCTCATCTGAGACATAATAGATCGGGGAGATATGAAGATATGCAGAGTACCTACACTCAACAATATTACTGACCCACTAACAAAACCTCTTGTGCAGCAGAAGCATGATGACCATACTAGATCTATGGGTATTAGAGGTATGCCTGATTGGCTCCAATGCTAGTGGGAGATTGTTGTTGTAAGCCCTATAGGTCGTTACTTTTGGTACTTGTATCGAATTATTTATTAATAATAAAAGGCATTTCTTTATTATGTTTGTTTTTCCAAGATAATAAAGTCTCTAGAATAGCTAGTCCGTTTAATGAAATATTAAATGTGACTTAATCATGAGTTCTCATTAAGCATAAGAACATTATTCTTAAAGTATCTATAGTCGAGCTTTACCGTGAAGTGAGATAACCTTAAATCATTAAAACTATAATGTAGATAGACTGATGATCACATCTCATGGATCATGGATAAGGAGTTATCAAGTCTAAACATAGGTATGAATATTATGAGTAATATTTATATTGGATTGACCCGCTATGAAAGTACTACATAAAATGCTATGCAAAGTGTCATAAGTTACTCTCATGGTGATAATGATGTATATCATCACCCTTCAACCTGAAACCACTATGAACCCTAAATATAGAGTTGAGTACTTTATTATTAATTTAACATTGTTCGTAACTGGATGACCATAAAGATAG